CAAATGGGACCCAAAAAGGATATGAATGAGGAGAGTTTATTGTTCTTTATCAGTAATAATATCAAAATTCATATGTTACGGAACTTGAGATCCGAGATCGCCAAAATTCGTCTTATTTTTTATTCTACAAAAGCGATCGTCAGACTGGAAGGTTTAATTTCCCCATAAAAGGCGAAATATATTTAGTTCTTGACACCCATGACTTAATGTACCTGCCTTACGAAGAAAGATCCGAGAAATGATCAGGTAACGTAATTACTAATCGTGTATTTTTTTTTTCTAGCGAGTAGTGAATGAAGCGATATAAATAAACTGGATTTGTGAGGCACATTTCTTATCTTTTCGCAATTTTTATAAGGTAACGTGTTTGGTTTGCTGGTGTTCATTATGCATTATTTGCAATAAGGACTCTATCCATTGTAAATGAATTTTTACTTATCTAGGAAACATGGAAATGGCCAACAATATCATTCTCAATTGTATCGTTATTCTTAATAATCCACGTAATCAACTTTCAGCCAATATTGTTTCCCTCATAATTACAATTCCCAGTGATGGAACAGTCGATGATCTCCAAACTGCAATTCAGAATCAGTTAGAATCTAACATTTCTCTTGATATTCGTCAAATTTGTCATCCTGGACCTGTAGACGAAAGACGTATGCGATCACCAGCTCTAATCTCTAGTTTTTTCAATGGGGATCCTCCTGAAAATGTATATCACGTTGTTGCATACGCCAATAGCGGAACATAATTATTTTTTTTATTTACGTCTGCAGTATGTAACTGCGATATGATTTTTTTTTATTTTTATGTTGTTATTTCGGTAACATTTTTTATATATCAATAAAGTAAGGTTCTATGTAACCATTTGTCTCAATACTTGATATAATACGTCATTATACATAAGATATTAATATGTCTCGCAAATCTAAAAATAACAGACGAAAAACTCAAGGTAGATTCACCGATAATCCTAAACAGTATATGCAATTTTAAACCGGGATAAGTACATGCAAAGAAAAGATGAAGATCACATAACTATAATAAATAAGAATACGCAAGACGTGAAGGCGATTTTTAATTATGTAGAGGTATGTAGATATCTAGAGATAAATAGTATTGATTCAAATATTCTTAGTATGTATAGGAATTAATCAGTTTTTTACATATATTGGTAGTTTTTTGAAACAGGAAAGAAAAAGTATACATTATTTGATTCTATATGCTAAAAATAAAATATAAAAATTAGTGATAATGCGGTGGTGAAGGGACGGTAGGGCTTGGACGAACGTTCCGTGGAGGATGTGAGCTGGCCTGCTCTAATGCCCGAACTAGCAAACTCTTATTCACAATTATGATATTTCTCAGAGTCAACAATAAACGTAGAAGAGATTTCACGCGCTGTAATGAACTTGGTGACAAAGGTATTTCTGCATGATCTAAATGAAAATAACGGGGTATTCCTCCTGCATCCTTAACGAGAACGTTCAAATGTATAACGTCACCAGCGACCTGTATTCCCTCAACACCAAATTGGTTAACCATCGGTCTACATGCTTCATCGACAAAACTTACCCCATCCAACGTTTCTCTCCAAAGCTTCACATAATCGTCATTTTTTTTAGTTTCGCTACAATTGATACGGGAGGATTCAACATACGCAAGCTCGAAAATCTTTCCTGTATTCTTTATCAACATCATGATATCAGGTTTCTTCCCCATACGCTCTCCATCGACTCCTATGTTTCTCCGAGCCTTGCTTGCAAGACTCTGACGTTCTGCTCTATAATTAGCAAATAAATATGTTTAGTATAATCATTTGACTTTTGTAATAATATTTTATCAATTAACTCTTACGTGCTCAAGCAGACGTAACCATTTGGAAGGTTTCCCAAACTTGCCCGAAGTAATGGAACAATAATATCTGTTATATATGTTCCCTCGCTTTGTTGGTTACGAGACATAGTAGTCGCAAATGCTGGATTACTCCAGATCTCTCCACTGATTAAAATTTATATTACTGATAAGCTACTTCATTAAAAATACGTCTCAAATGAATTATGAAATTACTTACAGCACGCCTAGAATGCGTTCTACTATTTTCAATAACTCCGATTCGTTTTCTTTCCACGATTTATTATGGACAGTATTCCCTATATTTCTTGAAACATTTGTGTTACCGAAATTTTCCACAAACTCACTGCACTTGGATATAATTGAATTAGGAAGGACGCATCTCATATTTTCACGAGGCTCCTAATTGTAAATATAATTAATATAAATTTAAATTTACTTAAGCCTAAATAATAACCATTATTACCATAAATTGACGCTTCTGTTTCACTTTCAATCCTTTCAGTATCTCCGATTTATCACTGATTACCATGCTTGCTTCTGGATCCTTCCACGAGAGCTCCGATTGGTCAATATTGTCCAAATTTGTCCTGAGAGTGCCATAAAGGTCCGCATCACGTTCCAACACAGGGTTCTAAAAACATTAACATTATAATATTTTTTTCAACAAAATTAATTTTATCAGGATATGCTTATAAAAACTTAGTGTACCTCGAGCTTGGATTTCAAGATGTTAAGATTTCGTTCTATTTGCTCTCTTGAATGGTCTTCGGGCAATTCCCTATCCTATATATTAGTTAGCCTCTATTGTGTTTATATTTTGGATCGTATTTATTAGATATTATACCGTATTCAAAGCCTTTATTGAAAGCAACCCCGCGATGCTTTTGTACCCAATCATCATCTACAGAAGATATAAGATATACCGGTATATTAGATTTGTGATCACAAAATCTTTTAAAGATGGGAATTATTTGCACGTGCATAATCAGGATAATCCAATTACTAATTATCATCGTTTCAGTTGAATAGTCATACACAGCTAGGGAGGAGCAGAAACCTTCAACATCTGACGACATTGCTCTTCCAGGCCGGCACTCCCCAACCTTCAGCTATGACATACCAAAACTTGATGAAAATCTACTGTAGTTTCGTCACTTTACGCAAATATAAAAAACAAATTTATTTGTTACTAACCTCTGGTAGAACCTCCAAGATTTTTGTTCTTCGCTCTGTATTGGTTATTTTCGTCAATGCTGAGCTTACCGCACGATCTGCCAAAGTTCTGATGTCTTCATATCTACCCAAATGGTTGCCATTCATTGCCAGATAAACAATGTTTGCACCACAAACTGCATCTAAAGGTCCGTTTAATAAAAGATTTTCAATTTTCGATACCAAGTTCGACATTGTAAATGCTTTAAAAAAAAGGGTTTGAGAATAATTATTAATGCGTAAATTTATATAATCTATAAAATCGCCAATAATAAGTAATTAACGTCAATAAAATAGTTATACTGCCCTTTTAAACCGTTTCCATCGAATGAATAATGCAGAAGAATGTATTTACGCCCAAAAATTAATCGAATTTGGTGCACAAATAAATATGCATGCATATAGTCAGGTGGTTGTATGCGTTAAATTCTAAAAATAATTTTTCGTTACACGGCCCCATTGATGTCGTGTGACATATTAAATTATCTGATCGATTATAGAGTATCAAAATTTGAATTCTTCTATTATAATATACACATCAGAAAATAATCCTCACCTTGTGACTGCGAAGTAAGAAAAATAAAGTCAAATGTTATATGAACTCCCGATTTTTACGAAGAAGTTACGATCAGAGAATTTACCTTTTGGGGAAAATTTTATTTCAATGCAGTAGAGGTAAGTATACGCTTATTTATTTGAAACTAGATCAAGATCATGGATTAAACGAGAGAATATTCCTCAAAGACACAAATATCGGTATAGATAATTACATTTAATCGAACAAGAAATACGTAGATTTTTTTTTAAAAATAGCAAATAGATATCATTATTTTTTATTGTAATATTTGATATATAATAATAATGATTTTTAATGATATTTGATATAGAAAAATAGAAAAATAGGAAAATAGAAATAAACGCGAGCTTGCATGGGAGGGATGCGAAAGCGCATATAATGCACGACTCCAAGGCCATGTAATGTGCATCCCTGTACTTTGGGCTCGCGATTATTCAGTACTAGTAATTATAAGATTATTTTTGTTTCTACCGCTACTACTACTAACGGACTTGTCTTTCTTTTTCCCTTCTTTATCGACCCAAGCTTCGATTTTATCTAATGTTGTAACAAGCGGTTTTTTTTGGTGGCGATAAAATCCAGATAACGTCGCAGGAAGGGAGGAGCAGAAACCTTCAACATCTGACGACATTGCTCTTCCAGGCCGGCACTCCCCAACCTTCAGCTATGACATACCAAAACTTGATGAAAATCTACTGTAGTTTCGTCACTTTACGCAAATATAAAAAACAAATTTATTTGTTACTAACCTCTGGTAGAACCTCCAAGATTTTTGTTCTTCGCTCTGTATTGGTTATTTTCGTCAATGCTGAGCTTACCGCACGATCTGCCAAAGTTCTGATGTCTTCATATCTACCCAAATGGTTGCCATTCATTGCCAGATAAACAATGTTTGCACCACAAACTGCATCTAAAGGTCCGTTTAATAAAAGATTTTCAATTTTCGATACCAAGTTCGACATTGTAAATGCTTTAAAAAAAAGGGTTTGAGAATAATTATTAATGCGTAAATTTATATAATCTATAAAATCGCCAATAATAAGTAATTAACGTCAATAAAATAGTTATACTGCCCTTTTAAACCGTTTCCATCGAATGAATAATGCAGAAGAATGTATTTACGCCCAAAAATTAATCGAATTTGGTGCACAAATAAATATGCATGCATATAGTCAGGTGGTTGTATGCGTTAAATTCTAAAAATAATTTTTCGTTACACGGCCCCATTGATGTCGTGTGACATATTAAATTATCTGATCGATTATAGAGTATCAAAATTTGAATTCTTCTATTATAATATACACATCAGAAAATAATCCTCACCTTGTGACTGCGAAGTAAGAAAAATAAAGTCAAATGTTATATGAACTCCCGATTTTTACGAAGAAGTTACGATCAGGGAATTTATCTTTTGGGAGAAAGTTTATTTTAATACATTAGAGGTAAGTATACGTGTATTTATTTGAAAACTAGATCACGGAAGATCAAGATTATGGATTAAACGTGAATATTCCTCAAAGACACAAATATCGGTATAGATAATTACATTTAATCGAACAAGAAATAAGTAGATTTTTTTAAAAAATAGCAAATAGATATCATGATTTTTTATTGTAATATTTGATATATAATAATAATGATTTTTAATGATATTTGACATAGAAAAATAGAAAAATAGAAATAAACGCGAGCTTGCATGGGAGGGATGCGAAAGCGCATATGGGGGCTGTTCTAGGAAAAAGTGGGTTTCTTCAGATTTTTTGTTTTTGAGATATTCATAAAAACAAAAAGCAC